ATGGTGGTGTGGAGTCTTCAGAGGCTATCTCAGTTTCTTCAACTAATGGTGGTGGTGTTAATTCAGGTGGGGTTGAGGTGGTTCATTGTCCTGGGGATGGTGTTGCTTCGCTGGTTGGCATACCTATTTTGATCATTTCTAATGCTAACTTACAAACCCACCTAGCTAGGAATAGTGTCCGGTTGCAATGTGCTTGTTTACACGATGATTGACTATCTTAAGGGGAGAAAAATTTTGATGATGGTTTGGAAACTAGTTCACTGGATACTGTTATTAGAAATCGTAAATGGAAGTCGAAAAAGAAATGATTTACTGGGCCTTATTGTTTAGTTTTTTTACGATTTCGGCTACCTTTGTTGGTTTGGATCTAGACAATGAGGAAGCGGGTATTCTGCATGCACCTGTGTTGGCTAGGGCTGGGCAACAGTGGTGACCTTGCTTTTTTGGATCCTCACTGGATGGCCCTCCCTTGCAACTGGGTGTCAGTCTGAGTCCGTGTGGATCCTTTTTTAATTTGGTTTGCCGCTGATTGTAACTCTACTGATGTGACCTGGTAGGGGTCTTGTGGTGTAACCTTTTTTCTTTAATGTCATTTTTATTTTGTTAAAAAAAATAAGCATATTGTTGAAGTTTCTTAAATTTTTGAATGGGCCACACAATCTTAAGAACTCTGCTTGTTCAACTTAGTATTTTTTAAAAAATGCATGATGAATGTGAATTAAAATGTGATCATTGTTAGGATTCTTGGAGGAAGAAGAAGCATCTTCTTGAGCTTCTTGGACGAGAGTGACGGGGAAGGGAGGAGACAAGGAGAGAAGTTGCACATGAATTATATATTACTTATTTAAATTGGACTCATCAATAGCTAATACAACCTCTATTTATAGGAAGAGAAACTACTTGGAAAAATTAAATAAACCTAAGAAAAAATAAAACCTAAAATTGGACCAAAACTCATTGCTAGAGTCTATTTTGTATCACTACATGTGTGCATAAAGATTGTCAAAAATATATGCACATGCAAATACAAAATAAAAAAATGAATTATGTAGGGATGTCAATTTCGAGTCACGAGTCGATTTCGGGTCAAACTTGAAATTGACCTGGCACTATTCGGGTCAACCCAAACCCAACCCATTTTTGCAAACGAGTCAATTTTTTAACTTGAACCCTACCCGCTTTGGGTTTGGGTAAACCCGGCACGACCTGAATGACCCGGGACCATGAAAAATTGCTAGTTTTGGGTTAAAAAATGGGTCAATTTCCATTTTTCAGGTCAAAACGGGTCGAAAATGGGTCAATCTTGGATTTTCGGGTCAAAAGCGGGTTTTCATGTCAAAATGTGTGCATTTGGCCCGACCCTATTTTTGAAACGAGTCGAATTGTTGAACTTGAACCCAACCCGTTTTGGGTCTGGGTTGACCCTAACCCAGAACTTTCGGGTCATGTTCGAGTCAGATTTTTGGATATTAATTGTCAAATATTGACACCCCTATAATTTTTAATTATGGAGAAGATCAACTAGATCAAGAACCCTTTCAAGATTAATTATAACCATAAAGAATCTCAAATTTTATTTTATTTATTATGTCAGAAACAATTTTGTTGTGTATAAATTCATCTATAACTAGCTTCACAGCAAAAGTTCTCATATTTTTTTCTATTAAAGATCTTGTATGCTTATTAAAGATTCTACTAATAACTTCAATTTGGTCTTCTATTTAGCCACATTTTTTTTACCAAAGTTCCACTATATATTCATTTGCTAGAAAAAAAATATAATAATATTTTTTAAATAAAGCTAAATAATTAATTATCAGTAGGTGTATATATTTTTGTAGCATAAATATTGAAAAAAATAGAAAAATAATATTAAAGGTGAAAATATATTAAATGCACATTAAAGTATACGTAATTGATATATTATTTTATCAGCAAAAAATACGATAATACGACACACACAATACATGGCTAATAATAGCATTTGCAAGTTGAGAAGAAGTGGAGCAACAACCTTCTAAAGAACTAAAACAACAACTGTTAGCCTAAAACAGAACAACTCATCTATACCTTACACGTGTAAAACACCACTTTAAATTACTTTCTACTAGCATATACATGTAGGCTGCTTTTCTCATATATACACATGCAACAATAAATATAATACAATAAAAACTTTGTTACTGATTAAACAATCAATTAAAAGCTTGCCCTAGCCGCCGCCTTGGTGTTTCTCTTTTCACCTCATTCGCCTTCTTCGGCTAGTCCGGAGGGAAACCCTTTTCAAAGGGCTCACCTCTCCACCCTCAAGATTTTCCTCCTCTTTCTCATACCTCAGCGACTCCCCCTTCTTCTCAGCAAGGTTCAATCCACAAAAGCAAATGCCCATGAACACCCCAATATTGATCGTGTTCAATGCAAATCTCAATAGGAGGGATTAATTCCGAACATACAAATTCCACCCAAATACCCTTAAAAACTCAAATATCCAAAAATGCCAAAAACCCAAAAATGTTTAAGATTGAAATAAACCCATAAAATGCTTAAAGCAAAATCCATCCGCCATCCACAACAATTTGCCGAGATGAACAACTTTGAAAATGCACTTCAACTTACAAAGAGCTAATATTTGGTTGATAATATCACTAGGATTCATTTTCAAGCGGTCTCTTGCCAACAAGCTGGATGTGACATGTGTCCTCTAACTAGCAGTTTTACTATAAAATGACACCGCATGTAAACGGTTATGATCGGGGCCCTATGAACCAAATGATTTGTCGCCAAATGACACCAATAAATATTGATCATGGCCAGAGCCCGTATGCTCCCCCCAATGGTACTAAATACTTGAGATATGAATCATGGGATATAATCAATAGGGCATAAAGACTTCTGTTAGCTAAGGTGGATTTAAATTTTTTTCCCTTAAGAAAATACTGACCTCATGTCTACAAGGTATCATTCGACGAAGCAACCCATGACTGCCGACAAGGATCCTTCTAATAAGCTAGGTCAACTTCCTTCTCTGACTAAGTAGACCTGGGACCATGATGACCTGGGATGACGGAACCATGGGATATTGATCGGGTCCATCATCCATTCTTCACCCATCTACTTTAAGTGCAAGATGATAAAATTTTTAATTTTAAATATCAAATTTTCAAATTCTTAATGCCCATGCAGCTACTATATGTCATATTACATGTATTTTTATGTATCTAATCGACTATTAGTCTTAATCAAAAGTTCTATCTCATTATTGGGAGGGGTAATTAACTATAGGGGATTGCACCTATAGGAAACTAGAACCCAGATCATAAAGTCCTTGTAAACTGAGGGGCGAAATCTCTGGGTAATGTCTTATCTAGAAACCCATCTACCTTCCCAAAATTTACCCCAGAACTTAATCGGTTAAAACTCCTCGAAAAGAAACAAGGAGGCCGGGGCGTGAATTTTCGGAGCCCACAATAGGATTTCTATAAGGAGATTTTCAATTTTTGGTTAGCTTCATTTTGTTGGGGGGCTCAAAATGGCTGATGTTCTAATTAAGAGGAACATTAGGGTTGATACTTGTTGTTTTTGTAATTTAAAATCTGAGAGTGTTTCACACCTTTTTTGTGTGTGACTTCACTTTTTCTATCATCTCGGAACTTCTCCCAAGTCTTAAAAAGTTCCTTCTATGACCTAATCTTAGTTAAACAGTGTGTTTTATTTCTGGAGGAGGCAATTTTGGTTCTTGGAGGTTGAGTTTTAATATGCTTTTACTTTGGTTTGTTGTCTATTATATATGGAGGGAGAGAAATACTAAAAAATTTGCAAGTTGTTCTAAAATCAATATCACAATTCAAGAGAATATCAAAAAAGTTGTATCCCTTAAGCTCATGAGATGAAAAAATGGAGACGAATTGAAATATTTGCTATAATTTCGTGGTATTTTGTTTCTTTGTTGCGGTCTGCTATGTCTTTACTGAGCTCTCCCTAATGCCTTTTTCAAGATGTGTTATAATGGTGTATTTTATCATTGGCCCATGTTTTATCAAATTTGTTATATGATGCGACTATCCTTGTGGGATTTCTCTCTCCATTTCCTTCTCGTTTGACTTTTTTTTTTGTCTTTGTCCATTCTTGGTTTTTGGCAATTGGCCATGGGATTGGTTAGTGGGGGAGGGATGAATGAATTGCATTCTCTCTTCCCCTGGATGGTAGCTCTATGCAACATTTTTACAACTTGATGGCATTTTTCGCAATTTGGGGATGTTATGACCTTGTGGATGCAATTCGCTACTTTCTGAGCCTAATCGTGAATTATGCTATTTCTTTTTTTAGTTCTGCTCTCTTTTAGTTCTATTCTGCCATGCATAACTTATGTACACTTTTTTATGAGTATTTGATCATTAATGTAATCAGCGGTTTTTTGGCTCCACAATTTTTTTTAGATTGTTTTTATAGTCTCACACATGTAACTATTTTTCATACAAACGAAAGTTTGGGCTTTGCCCTTATTTCCCCCCCACCCCCACCCAAAAAAAAAAAAAAAATAAATGTAATACAAGGTTGAAATACAATGAAATAGCCTTCATGTAAAGGAATGCTTCTTCTCTACTTTATCTTCTTCCTTGAAATCTAGTACTCTTAGCTCTCAGCCATTTGCACGAAAAGCTTGAGGATCTCGGAACGCCATATATGATAGTTGTCTTTGGATAGAGGAGTTGAAACTATGTGCTTGCTACTAGATATTAGGGATTTAAGAGAAGGTATATGCGGTATATATATGACAATATGACAATACTTAACATTTAAATATATGCACGACAAAATATTAAACCTTTATTTCATATAGTAATTCATAACAGAAAATACATAATTTAGTATAAGCAACATATTATTTTGAAATAGATACGTTCAAATCTAGGACATACGATAACATTTATATTTCTTTACCATCTTAAATATAGAACCGTTGACTCGATATCTCATCAGATCACACATTCCTCAATATCTCATTTGTGTTTCCTATAAATTTTGATATCTCTCCATCGTGCTTCCATATAATGACTTTCACCATTTTGTGCATAAACACCACATTTGAAATAAAAATGGCTCGGTCCTTTTCCACCCACCTTAAGCTTTTGCACGCCATTAATAAAGGTCGTCACCTTATTAGCATCAACATCATGTATCACATTCACTCTCACCCATCTATTGTAGATGTTAGGTTCCACTACCGTTCCTGCGTAGTACCTCAAATCTCCTTTGAAAACCATTAGCATCAAATTTGTAGCAGGTTTCTTACCGTCTGATCGATGGATTTGCATGATGGACGTGCCACTTGTCCCATTTGGCACATAAACATATCCCTCAAACTGCCATATTCCGCTAGAATAATCATAGCCCTGCAACAAATTTTCAAACAGATTAAGAAAGTAAATTCATGAATGTAAAATCTACAAAATATATTAAAAATTATGCTGGCATATATATACTTTGATACGAATCTCAGTTCGTGGATCTGTGGGGCTTCCAGCTTTGAATGGCTTGTCGGTGGAGTATACAAACATACGGTGTACGCCATTAACGTAGCTATAGCGTTTTGCTAAAGGTATGTTGTATGGCTTCTGCAGTTCAAAATTTGCGTCAGTTAAGGGGAGACGGGTAAAGCCATCAGTGGGATCAGCGTTGCAGAGAAGAAGAGATTCATTCAATAATAAGCTCAACAAAATTAGAAATGTCAAGAGGAAATGCCAAACAGGAGAGGGCGCCATAGCTGGGAACTCTTTTTGTTTCCAACTACTTGGAGAAAAAAGATGGAAAGTGAGGGGTTTATATAAGAAAGCAAAGCTATCCTGATTCATGTGATGTGGCATTTTAATTTACATGGTAAGCTGGAAATTATTATTATTATTGTTAAAGAACAGTAGTGAATCATTAAGTATTTATATTATTTATCACGTATGAATTGTTTGATGTATTTATATTGTTCTCGTTTGCAGTTAAGACAATTTAATTAGTATGGAATGCATGTTAACAACTATATATATAGCTGGTTGTGATTATTAAAAATACTAATTAATTATAATTTTCATTGGCTTGCATGGTGGCCTAATTAATTAGTGGTTGGACTGGCCGGGTGCTTAGCTCGCTGAGTAATATATTTGTCTCCAACGTTTTGGCAAATTGAAGATCAGCTGTGTAAGCTAATTTGTGGAAATTTAATGTATCATTGATTGATCCATTATGTTGGACTATTCGAAACAAGCAGTAGGCCAGGTTTCATGGGTTACGGTATGGGGTAACCTATTAAGGCATCAAACATCTTGATCAATTATATATATATATTTTTTTAAAAAAAAATAGATTTGGTTTGAAATGGCTTTCTTATTGCTTCTTAAAGCAACTTTGTAGTAAAAAATTTTATTTTTTTACTAAAAACAGCTTTAAGAAGTAGTAAGAAAGACATCCCAAATAAAACCTTAATCATTTCTCAATCAACAACTTCTTAAACCAACAGAGGTTCTAATAATGGGATGATTAACTTGATCTAAACGTATATGTGTGTACAAACTTTAATAACTAGTATAAATGCACGTGCCCATGATGCACGTGAATAAAATTTAAAAAAAAAAATAAGAAATAAATAATTAAAATTTAAAAATAATTATGACATGCTCTATAATTGTTATTAAATTTTATATTAATTGTAGATAAGTAGGAAGAGTCTCCTATAAATGTAAAAGTAAAATTAAAAAAAAAAAATCGAGCCTTAGATGTGAGCATAAAAAATATCGAATTAATAAAATTTTTAACCTAATTACTGCACTTAACCTAAACTTAACATTACTACTAATGTAAATAAATTTTAAAAAAATGTTACCACTAAAGTGAATGATGTTATAAGCTCATTGGAGAGATATATATTTGTATACCTGTCACAAATTAATACAAAAAATTGGCATTAATTAAATAACAAATATAGTTATAAATACCAATTAAATATAATAATTAACCAAAATTTTAGGATAGCCAATTAGGTTAATATAAACCTGAATTTTATTTTAATTTATAGAAATAAATAGTCAATATTTATAACCATGGTAATTAATACAATATAATTAAAATAATTGCTTTTATAAAAGTAGTATAAATAAATAATTACTAGAGTAGGTATTAAAAATTATTTTTTAATGCCACACTTGCATGACGTTTTTAATGAATTATATTATTAATGCGTCTAGGAGTATTCGCGGCGGAAGAGAAATATAAAGTTTAACGTCTCAACGTTGTACGAAGATCCAGCACGCACACAGATAAAGAGAGAGGGTGCAGGATTAAAGGAGACACCAAAATTTTTACGTGGAAAACCCCTGAAAAAGGGGGAAAAACCACGGAGCCTGGCCCAGTATGAACGAATCAACTAGTATTGTAGTTGATTACAAAGGAGGTCCTTCCTCAAGGCAAGGCCTTAGCTTGATGTACATCTTATAGAGTACATTACATGATGAGAATACAAAGCATCATTGTTTATGTGTTTGTTTGCTCTGAAGGACTGTAGTCGGTGTGCGACGTAAGTCGGAAGGAGTATGGTCGGCAGGCGACGGAGGTCGGAAGGACCGTAGTTGGCGGGAGACGTAAATCTAAAGGACTGTAGTCGGTGGGCGATGGAGGCCAGAAGAATTGTAGTCGGCGGGCAACGTAGGTCAGGAGGACCGTAGTCGGCTAGCGACGAAAGTCAGAAAGACTATAGTACGATAGTTGGTGGGTGACATAAATTAGGAAGATCGTAGTCGGCATGCGACGAAGGTCAGAAAGACTGTATTGTAGTTGATTACAAAGGAAGTTCTTCCTCAAGGGAAGGCCTTAGCTTGATGTACATATTATAGAGTACATTACATAGTGAGAATACAAAGCATCATTGTTTATGTGTTTGTTTAGTTTGAAGGACATTAACCTATGTGGAAGAAGTCGAAAGAATCCACCAATAATGTAAGACCTATCAGAGGTTATATGTCTGAGCATTTGCTCGACGATGTTAACCTATATAGAAGAGGTCGAGAGAATCCACCAAGGAACTGAGACCTATCCGAGCTTATATGTCAGATCCCTACTCGATGATGTTAACCTATATGGATGAGATCGAATCGAATCCCCCTGGGATTGATTTTGCCTTGATTGGGAGGGGGCGATCCCCGCTTGTATCTCGAATCAAAGGTAGATAATGGTCTATCTTTAGACCGTTACTGCTATTTTGAGGTCGAGATTAAGACCTTGCTCAAGGAGTAGAAGTCCAGTAAGACACTATATGTGGCTTTCGGGAAGCATCCTTACATTTGTAGGGAGTTTCCTTATATATCATCTTGGTTTTGAAAGTCTTTGAGGGATCTTCTTGACTAAAATTGTAGTCAGTCCGAATTTGATTTCCATGAAATTGATGTATAAATAGCGGTTAAATAACCTTTTGAGATTGGAGCCAAAAGTGCCCCCCAGTCGGGAACCACATTCCCACGTACAGACGGCGCCAAACTACTGTGTCCTGGAGTATTCGCGGCGGTAGAAAAATATAAAGTTTAATATCTTAGCATTGTGCAAAGATCCAACGCACACACAGATAAAAAGAGAAAGGGTCTAGCATTTATGAGACACCAATATTTTTACGTGAAAAACTCCTGAATGAATCCACTAGTATTGCAATTGATTACAAATGAAACCCTTCATTGGGGGAAGACCTTAACTTGATGTACATATTATAGAGTACATTACATGATGAGAATATAAAGAATCCTAGTTGATGTGTTTGTTTGGTCTGAAGGACTGTAGTCGATAGACGACGTAAGTCGGAAGGACTGTAGTCGATAGGCAACGGATGTCGGAAAGACTGTAGTCAATGAGAGACGCAAGTCAGAAGGATTGTAGTCGGCTGGCAATGGAGGTTGAAAGGACTGTAGTCTGATGATGAAGGTAAAAAGGATGGCGTCAGGTAGAAGTCCATCAATGGATAGAAATCCAACATCGGATAGATGTCCGGTGAAACTCCGACAACGGGCAGAAGTCCAGCGTCGGGTAGAAACTTGGCGACGAGTGGAGACCCGACATCGGGTTGAAGTCCAATATTTATTGGCGACTGAGGATAACTCCGGCATTAGATGATATTCAGGCAGAACTCCGGTGTTACTTGAAGTTCAAGTGAAACTCCAGCCTTACTTGGAGGTCAGGAGGAATTCCGGCATCACTTAGAGGTCGGGTGGAATTTCGACGTCATTTAGAATTCAGGCAGAATTCCAGCGTCACTTGGGCAGAATTCTGGCATCTCGTAGAAGTCGGGCCGAATTCTGGCATCACTTGGGCAGAATTCTGGCAGTGGTGGTCGAGGAGTTTTTTTCCTCTTCTCTTCTCCTTCTTCTCTTCTCTTCTCTTCTCCTTCTTCTCTTGCTAGATGACGTTAATCTGTATGGAAGATGTCGAGAGAATCCACTGAGGATGTATGACCTATCTGAGGTTGTATGTTAGAGCACTGCTCGATAACATTAAACTATATGAAATAGGTCGAGAGAATCCATTAATGATGTATGACATATTTGAGGTTGTATGTCAGAGCACTGCTCGATGGCATTAAACTATGTGGAAGTGGTCAAAAGAATCCAGCAATGATGTGAGACCAATCAAAGGTTGTATGTCAAAGCCCTACTCAATGACGTTAACCTATATGAAAAAGGTCAAAAAATTCCATCAATGATGTGAGACCAATCCAAGGTTGTATGTCAGAGCACTTTGCTCGGTGACGTAACCTGTATGGAAGAGGTTGATAGAATCCACCAAGGATGTGAGACCTATCCGAGGTTGTACATCGGAGCCTTTGCTCGATGATGTTAACCTGTGTGGAAGAGGTCGAGAAAATCCACCAAGGATATAAGACCTATCATAGGTTGTATGTCATAGCCTTTGCTCGACGACATTAACCTGTATGGAAGAGGTCGAGAGAATCCACCAAGGATGTGTGACCTATCCGGAGGTTGTATGTCAGAGCCCTACTCGACGATGTTAACTTATATGGAAGATGTCAAAAGAATCCACCAAGGATGTAAGACCTATCTGAGGTTGTATGTCGGAGCCTTTGCTAGATGACATTAACCTATATGGAAGAGTTCAAGAGAATCCACCAAGGATATGAGACCTATCCGAAGTTGTATGTCAGAGCACTACTTGATGATATTAACATGTGTGAAAGATGTCGAAAGAATCCACCAAAGATGTAAGACCTATCCGAGGTTATATGTCGGAGCCTTTGCTCGACGACATTAACCTATATAGAAGAGGTCGAGAGAATCCACCAATGATGTGAGACCTATCCGAGGTTATATGTCAGAGCCCTACTCGATGACGTTAACCTGTGTGGATGAGGTCAAATCGAATCCCCCTGTGATTGATTTTTCCTTGATTGGGAGGGGGCAAACGCCGCTTGTATCTCGAATAAAAGGTAGATAATGGTCTATCTTTAGACCGTTACTATCATTTTAGATCGAGATTAAGACCTTACCCAAGGAGTGAAAGTCCAGTAAGACACTATATGTGGCTTTCGGAAGCATCCTTACATTTGTTAGAAGTTTCCTTATATATCATCTTGGTTTTGAAAGTCTTGGAGGGATCTTCTTGACTAAAATTGTAGTCAATGTTTCCCCCAATTACGACTTTGGTTTCCATAAAATTGATGCATAAATAGCGGTTAAATAACCTTTTGAGGTTGGAGCCAAAAGTGCCCCTAGTCGGGAACCACATTCCCACAGACGGCGCCAAACTGCTGCGTCCTGGAGTATTCGTGGCGGTAGAGAAATATAAAGTTTAATATCTTAGCATTGTGCGAAGATCCAACACACACAAATAAAAAGAGAGAAGGTCTAGCATTTATGAGACACCAATATTTTTATGTGGAAAAATCCTGAAAAGGGGAAAAAAACTACGGGGCCTAATCCAGTTTGAATGAATCCACTAGTATTGCAATTGATTACAAATAAAACCCTTCCTTGGGGAAGACCTTAACTTGATGTACATCTTATATATTATATTACATGATGAGAATACAAAGAATCCTAGTTGATGTGTTTGTTTTGTCTGAAGTATTGTAGTCGATGGACGACGTAAGTCGGAAGAACCGTAGTCGGTGGGCAACGGAGGTTGGAAGGACTATAGTGAATGAGAGACGTAAGTCAGAAGGATCGTAGTCGCCTGGTGATGGAGATTGAAAGGCATGTAGTCTGACGATGAAGGTAAGAAGGATGGAGTCAGGTAGAAGTACATCAATGGATAGAAATCCAACATCGGATAGATGTCCGACGAAACTCCGACAACTGGCAGAAGTCCAGCGTCGGGTATAAACTTGGCGACGAGGGGAGATCCGACGTCGGGTATAAGTCCAACATATATTAGCGGCTGAGGAGAACTCTGGCATTAGATGATATTTGGGCAGAACTCTGGCGTTACTTGAAGTTTGGGTGAAACTCCGGCCTTACTTGGAGGTCAGGCGAAAATTCGGCGTCACTTGAAGGTCGGGTGGAATTCCGGCGTCACTTGAAAGTCAGGAAGAATTTCGATGTCACTTGGGAAGAATTTCGGCATCTCGTAGAAGTCGGTCCGAATTCTGGCGTCACTTGGGTAGAATTCTGGCAGCGATGGTCGAGGAGGAGTTTTTTCCCTCCTATCCTTCTTCTCTTCTCTTCTCTTCTCCTTCTTCTCTTGCATCTTGCTTGGGTCATGGCTTGGGCCCCTCCTTAAAAGAAATGAGGAGCTATTTATAGATATTATGGAGTGGCATGGCCTGTAAATAATTGAGAGATCAGGGGTAAATGGAGAGTGGTTGGATGGACGACCGATATTGAATCCTTTGATCGTGGACTGTTCATCAGACATTTGAAGGTTTTAATGATGTCAGAATTTGGCGATCTTGGGCTCGTTGGATTTGTCTCGTCGAGCCGCTCAATTTGACTATAAGCATTTTATATTTGGAAACTGTTTGGTAACTCAAATTATGGTTTGAACTTTACAACAGAGCTTCGGGTCCTTGATTCAGACACATTTGGGCTCAGATTGAGTTGAATTTGGTGTCGTTGGGTTTGTATTTCCGAGACGATCAATTCCACTATAAGTTTGCTGAAATCATAGTTCAGGTGAACCTGGATTTAATTTTTGAAGTTTCCATCTTGATTTTGCCTCGAGATTCGTGCATGATCAAGATAATTTTATGATGATATATCAATACTAATGCATTATAAACTTATCATAATACACCTAAGGGTTGTTTGGTTATTGCTAAAGGAATATAATGTAAAATGAATGTATTGTAAAAGGAATATTTTGAAGTTGTTTGGATGATTATAAAAAGAATGTAAGAATTTTTTTTTTGTTAAAAGTAAAATGAATGCAATATGAAGTGCAAAAAGATAGTGCTCAGTGGCTGATATTGGCGGTGGGTAATCAGCGGCGGTGGGCAACAACGACCAGCGGTCATCGACATTGGTCAACTGTGGCAAATTGTGGTCAGTCATGGCCAGGGATGGCTAGCAATGGCAGGCAGTGGTTGACAATAGTTGACAACAATTGCAATGAGTTTCCAATGTATTTAGAACTTGCCCAAATCAAAGGAATTCCATATATAAAAAATGAACTATATAATGTAATTCAAAATACATCAAAACTTTACACTATAGTTGTTGTAAGTCAAACTAAATGTCAATATTTTCAAAACTCCTTGATTTTTGAACCAAATAGCCCCCTAATTCTGAAACATTAGTCTATCTCCCCCTTCCACTCCTATTCATAACCCTCGATGGCAAAAAGGCGGGGAAGTCTCAAGGATAGTTTGTTGATGAGGGCATTAATAAGATTACAACATATGAAAAAGAAGAGAAATTTGTGAGATATGTGAATTTAAGTTAAAACTCCTAATGCCAATATTTTATAAATTTGATATTTAAGATTTAAGAGTTTAACAAGATTTAGGGTATATTTAGGATGGCTTTTTCATTGTTTTGTTTTTTAAATAGCAATCATAATTTCTTTTGAAAACTGTTTTCTCACTGTTTTTCAAAAAAATTATATAGTGAAAAGCTTTTTTAACAAACAAAGTTGTTAAGTTATTTTTTTCTTCACAATAACTTTATAATTAATTTTATAAAAAATTACAACCATCTCAAATAGAATCTTAACTTAAATCATTCTCAAATCTTTACCACCAAACAACCACTTCAGGTTGTGTAGTATTTCTTTATCTCAGGTGGTCAATTATTTTTTTATTTATGGCTTTCACTTTTCAAAGCTAATTTGAGCTTTAGAGATTTCAGCCAATCTAAAAAATCTATTTGAAATCAATTCATTTGAAAACTGAGTAAACCCAACTATAAATTGACTAGGGTTGAGCCTGATTTTGTCGATTCAGTCACCCTATGCGGCATTGCAGGTGTGGATCAGAGGGCGACTTTACCAGTTGAACTGGGCACAATTAGGGAAGATCGACCGACCGATCGCTCAGAAGGACAAGCCAGGGTGGCCGACGGCAGCGGAAGTGGGGAAAGGGCATGACGAGCAGTGGGAGTTCATCGGAGCTCCCAAGAAAGGAGGCGGGCGTCCTTCGAGGGCACGAGGGGGCAGTTTTGGCTGCTCGATTCAACGGCGACGGAAACTACTGCCTGAGCTGTGGCAAGGACCGAACCCTCCGCCTTTGGAACCCTCACCGTGGTATCCATATCAAAACCTACAAATCCCATGGCCGCGAGGTTCGTGACGTTCATGTTACCTCGTACGAGCCCCTAGAACTACCGCTTTCGATGCGTTTCATCTCGTATAATTATCTCCCATCTTTGTACTGTGACGGCTAAACTTCGTTGCATTCATCAATTGTTGTACTGAAAGGGACAATGCCAAGATTTGTTCATGCGGTGGGGATCGGCAGGTTTTTTACTGGGATGTTGCAACCGGGCGTGTGATACGGAAATTCCGCGGGCATGATAGCGAGGTTAGTTCTCGCTGGTGTGGTTTTCTTTTATCATTAGAATTTAATGTGTGTCAATTGATGCCTGCCATCTTACATAAGTACAAAATGTAATGAACTAACACAATGATTGGGAGCTGAGGGAAGAAAGGAACGGCTCTGAGGAGAGGAGATAAATTATGGGGGATTTACCTACATACCACTTTATAATACTCTATTTATATATTTAACACCTAAAACTTTAATATTACATATATATCACCTTATATTATTTTAATATCAAATATTTCACCCATATTTCATTCCCACCACCCATATATTTGATTCCTACCACCCATATTTGATATGAAAGTGAACTATGGGTGGTATGAATGTAATATTAAAATTTTAGGTGTTAGATATGTAAATAGAGTAGTATATAGTGGTATGTATGCAAATCCCCCATTTTTCATGATTGCGAGTTGTAATAGAGAAAAGAAAATGATTCTTTCTTCTCTTGATTGAGAGTTGAAATACGAGTACGCATGAGCTTAGATTTTTGTTGTTATGGTTAAGGAACGTAAACGTATTTGGGTAAGTACTATAGCATGAGAAAATATTTTGGTGTAGAGGATACAAAGTGATTAACTCTCCTATCTCATACACTTAAGCTTTAAAAAAATTGACAAGTGTATCAGGCCCAACTTTAGCTTCCCTTTAATCAGCATTCCTTAACAAATGACATCAAAGCTAAAGGTCTACTAGGATCATGTGGTTCATGCATTTTGTGACTCCATTGGGTTTTTTGTGTCTTTTATTATGGTTGAATGATGTTTAATGACAGATGATTCTCATGACAGCTCCATATGATTTAATGAGATTTGGTTGTACACTCGATGATATTAAAAAGATCATCATTTGAGGGGTAATGATGAGCAATTTAAAGATCTTTCATATGAGAGGAACATTGTTAAATCTTATGAAAGTATTGATTTTAGTCCTATATATAATGGATAAAAAAGATATTGATGTTGAAATACCAAATGTTATATTTATTGTCCCGTTGGCTTAAGCTTTCGGGTCAGAAACTTTGCCACTGATATCTCATGCCTAAGTTTCGCCCTCTTTTGATCCATGCTAACAAACTGCAGTAGAGCTAAAAGGCCCATTTGGATTTAATGGTTTATGGTTCCCTGGAGTTTTGTTTTTCTTTTAAAACTATTAAGCAATGTTGAATAATGCGTGAAATCCACAATGACTTAACATGGTTTAGTGAGATATTGGTCATGATACTTAATGTTTTAAAAAGATTTTATTTTAGGAGGAGTGATTGGTGATTTGGAGAGCTTTCATGTAAGGGGGAGGTTTTTAAGGCATGTGAAAAAGTTGGGTTTAGTCTCATATTCAAAAATATATTAATGTGGAAATATCAAGTGGTTGGCTTTCCCCCTTTCGTAAGCTTAAAATTTTGGCTTAAAATTAGGTTTTTGTCACATGTATATGAAGTCCAATTTTAATCCCCCTTTGATACAAAATCTCTAATTAAGTGGTATGAGAGTTTAAGACTCGGTTGAGATAAAGTGATTCATATAATTTGTGATTTGTGACTTACATAGATATTTTGGTGGCTTTTATTGTGAATGTGCAAGATTTAATAATGGATCACTCACACAATGGCTCCATATGGTTGAATTAGATATTGATGTGACAAATTTAATTGTATTAAAAGAATCTTTCTTTCAAGGTAAGTACTGGTTGGTGTAGAGAACTCTCACATATAATGTAGATTGTTAAGGTATGTGAGATTATTATGTTTGTTCTCAAATTGGATAGAATAAAATATGATGGTGTAGACATTATCACTTCCAAAGAATATAGCTTAATCGATCTGAGTCAGGAGTACGACTCATTGCGGTCTTACTAAGAGTATTCTCGTTAAAAGTCATCTATCATCCTTACCAATCCAATGAATTTACTTTGTAAAATACCCGATTGGAATGCTCCAATATTGCCTTTGTTTTTTCCAATCAATTTTGGGAGAATATTTATCAGTTATGATCTCGATGGTGTTGTATTGCATTAGAGCTTAATGAAAAAAATCACAAAATCAAACAAAAAAATCATGCAAGTCATTTAAGTAAATGGAAGGGGATCGAACATGATTAAAATAATATCTATTATATAAGGCCTTATGGCCAAAGGACTCATAAGCCAAAACTGTGTAACTCTAAAAGAATTATATTGTACATCAAGGGCTCATAATGTTAGAGTAGTACACACCAAAATATTATCTATGTAACCCATTATTCACTTACCTATCGAGTGCTTTGAAAGCTCTCATAAGCTCGAGGAGTAATCCTTCCATTCAAATTTGATTGGAGTTTAGGGACCATATTACGAGGAACATAGAGTTTTTAAATGTAGAATATTTTATTTTCTCAAATATTTAGCCTAGTTTGAAGTTGCACTATCGTAGAGTTATAATAAATTTGAAGGATCGAGGTTTTCCAAGGCTGTAAACTCCTATAGTTACTTATATCTCAGTACTAAAAAAACTATCAATTAAGAACATCATGTGCGCTCTAAATTCCGAATGGTTGAATTTGGTTTTGTATTCAGGATATGATTAGGAAATGGTGGTCAATGCATTTAAGTTTCCATGGTTCTAACACCTCAATTCAAGCTTGTGAACAATTTTACCAACAATAAAGGGGTATGATGTTGTATAACCTGGAGAGTCTAATTAACAATCATAAGTTAACTCTTATTAGATATCTTGAATAGATTGGTCTGATGCATTAGAATCTATACTCTTTCTTTATTTGATTTAGTGTTCTAGTCCTGAATCAAATAAATCCAAGGATACTAGTGTAGGTGTCAATGGTTCAAAGGTGTTTTTGTGTGATTCTTGATGTTCAACGCAATGGATTTGATTATTCCATATTGAGGTTTGCTTCGATGCTCTTTTTTTTTTTTTTTCAATTCAATCATTCATGACCCAAGTTATGGTATCACTTTTGAAAGAAGAGTTCTCTAAAGCATACAAGCCATTATAATTTAGTGTGTTGTAGTCATTCTTTCAGAATGCACTATATTATGGTATCACATCATATATTTAACTTGAGGCGGTCCTCTAGGTCTATTATTTAAGGTTAGCATATGCTTGGTATAGAGTTTTGAAATACCCATTAGGCGCCTCTGGTTTGTAACTCTTAGTTAGCTTGAGTTTTGGATTGGAATTTAGTTGACTTGAAGAAAATCCACAAGTATAGAGGGTTTTTTTTTTTTTTTTGTTAACTCTGGTGAGTTTTTGTTCGCACAAAGGAGAATTTAAATTCTACAAATGTCAAGGCTTACATCTTTGAAAATGACTTACAAATGTATTTTGGATATTTTTGTAGGGCTTATAGTTGTTTGGTGTAGTTTGAAAATTAATTTATTTGATAACAATTTCTCATCTCTATATTGGCCAAAGATGCCTAATACTTAAAATTCATATATAGTTCATATGAATTTGACCAGGGGATTCAGAAAAGCAAGGGCTTCCATCTCTATTTTAGGTAGGAAGGCCCTTGAGACTTGGGACTCGTGTATTTAGTTTAAACTTTGCTTAAAGAATTTGGGATTAAGTTACTTATATCATTGTATTAGCAAGGAAGGCATGTGAGACTCAAGAACTATGTATTTGGTACAAACTCAGATTGATTAATTTAGGATTTGGTAAAGTCGGGACTTATATCCTTATATTTAGTAGGAAAGTTGAGTCGAGATTTGTGTAATTTGTATGAGCTCAGCTTAAAGATTTTGACATTTTGTTTAAAGTTTTGATTTTAGAGTTTTTTATGGCTTTATGCACGTCTGACATAGATTTGTGTAGATGTTGAGGACTTATGCCTTTGGATTTGATAGAGATGCTCCATGTGGTTTGAGTTTATAGATTTGGAGATTTTGTATCAACTTGACTTGAGATTTTGTTTTTATGTTATACGTATAGTTTGGTGAGTTTATGCTAAACCAACTACGTGATTGCGGCTTACATTCTAAGAATGCCTAAGGATAGGACTTACAACCTTTCAATGAAGGTGTGGCAGTGCCAGCCATATGTTTGTTGATTTGTATTTGTTGACTTGAACTTGTTTGCCTTAAATTTTCTTTATTTGAATTTGTTCATTTAGATTATGTTCATGAGAAGCTTGGGATTTATAAATTGATGAATGTAGGGCATGTGGGACTTACTACCCTTATTTTATTGAGTTTCAAGCTCAGGGCATACAACCTTAATTTGAAGGATACTTGAGTCTGAAGCGTTGGCATATTTTTGTGTTTGTGAGGCTTACAGTCTTATGCCGACTTGGTTGGAGCTTATGCACTTGTTAAGCTTATGGTTTTGTGGTTGTCTTTTTCTTTTGATAGGACTTATGGCCCTAGAAGTGTGTAGGCATATAGATAAGCCCAATTTTTGATATTTTAGACCTTCATTTATATTTGATGTTTGATAGAGACTTGATTTGAGATAATGGATCTTACAGCTTTATTTATGAATTGTCGAAGATTGAGACTTATAATCCTAACCGATACTATGATTTGATTGTATTTGGATTTAGGTCTATTTTGTTCTCAACTTAACTTGATTGAGGGCTGGGACTTATAACCCGAGTTGTTAGGGAAGGCCATGAATTGATGATTTCCTTGTGGGATTTACAACCCTTGTTTTAAAAAAGCCCAGATGTATTTATTTAACTTTTGAATTGATGTTTTTGGCATGATATGAGCTTTTTTAATTTAAGGCAGTTGAGACTTAACGCTTTGATAGTAGAGACTGTAGAGTAGGCCAAAAGATTGGAGCTCACAACCCTTGGAATTTAGGGAAGTCAAATAATTAATAATTTTAGGGAAGCCCATATGAATTTATTTCCTTTGATTTGGATGTTCGACTTGGCTGAGAGATTTTAAAATTTGCACATTAAACTGATTTGATTGGGCCTAGTTGTTGGTTAGCACAGAAGGATTCCAGGACTCGGATTTTTTAATGTTCAAACCTTTGTATATCATTTTATAAATATTTGACATCTACTGATTTAACTGAGCTGTGGGTTCACCAAGTTCAAGATGAGGTTCCATGTCCTTTCATTGACTTGCAAAGGAGGACTCCCTCAAGTTTTGAAAATTTTTAAGATTTGAACAAATATTTGATGAAAGATTCATCTTTAAGCTTTTTTGGGGATTTTACGGACCTGCAAGGGAGCACTCCCTCGAGTTGATTTCTTTTTATTATACTTTCAACGTTGCCATCCTTCTATGTGATCCTTGAAATTGTTTGGTCTTTGAACTTCAATGGAACACCATTTAATGCACAAGGAAGTATCTATTTAAGTCCTCTCTCTTGGATTACCTTGCAATTAACGTCATGTATACCCTGTTTCTTCAGGTGAATGCAGTCAAGTTCAATGAGTATGGATCTGTGGTCGTATCAGCTGGTTATGATCGTTCTGTGAGGGCATGGGATTGCAGATCTCATAGTACGGAGCCAATTCAGGTTTGCAATTTAGAAACCTGAGTTATTAGATAAGAAATCCATAATTCTGATTATTTGATAGTAATAAGTTGTAGTTCACATATGATAAATTGCTTTTGTTTTATTTCAGATTATTGATACATTTATGGATAGTGTAATGTCGATTTGTTTGACAAAAACTGAAATTATAGCTGGAAGTGTTGATGCAACTGTTCGCACATTTGACATTCGAATTGGTAGGTGAGTGGTTTGCATGGAATTATATCAGTAAATTCACATTATATTGAATTATACTTTCAATTTCTTGCTCCTTACTAGATTCAAACTTTTATAAGCTCTTTAACATTTCCTTGCATTGTCACGAATTAGAGAGCTTGTCGATGACTTGAAGCAACCGGTCAATTGTATCTCCTTGTCAAATGATACTAACTGTACTCTTGCTAATTGCTTAGATTCTACCCTGCGCCTTCTAGACAGGTAATAAAAAAAGTCTAATAGTAAATAGTAATTCATTCATATTAACTCTAATGTTTGTTACCAAATAATTTATTCGTAATGGCAGGACCACAGGAGAACTCCTACAACAATATAAGGGTCACATCTGTAAGGTATTAAAGCTCTATAGGTTCTTCTTTTGACCCTTTCTGTAGGTAATTCCAAAGTAGAATATGAGGAGTTCTTTACAAGTTTTTTGTTGTTTATGAGAATTTTTTCTATTGGTTTGTAGTCTTACAAAATGGATTGCTGCCTTACAAATACTGATGCCCACGTAACTGGTGGATCTGAAGACGGTTTTATTTATTTCTGGGATTTAGTTGATGCATCCGTGGTTTCAAGTTTCCGGGCACATTCCTCTGTTGTAAGTTTATATTACTAGATTTTTTTTTTATTTTTCTATATTACTAGATTAGTTTATCTATTTACACGAACATGCTGGACAGTCATTCAACTGTTGATTCTACTCCTATGTTAGCTCCTTCCATGTTCACACTGCATTTTTACTGTGCAATTATTATACACACTGCGTCACAAAATCCGGACGCAACTTTGATCCAGAGTCCGCACGTAATAATCTCTCTCTTGCTACGGCCCTCCTGCCTTCAACTCCTTAAGGAAGCATGATTTGGTGTGCTAAACAAGTCAATCGATTAATAGTGAATTCATGATAGATTAGGTTAATTTTATTTATATTTTGTTTCCTCTTTATGGGGCCAGTTTTGGCCTGTTTTCTTCTCTTATTTTTCGTTTTATTTTAGGCCCACTAATTGGTCTATTTTATGTCCTATAAATATTGAATTAATTGTATACTTGAGGACAGTTGATTTGATTAATGTCAGTTATGTGTTCAGGTTTTTCCCTCTTTATGGGGACTGTTTTGATCTCTTAGAATTCTTTCTATTTTAGGCCCAATAATTGAGCCATTTCTTTACTATAAATCTTGTCTCTCTTATATCTATTATTTTTCTCTTAAAAGAACTCTGATTGTTTCTTGGTCAGGTGACGAGCGTGAACTACCACCCGAAGGATTGTTGCATGATTACATCCTCTGTAGATGGCACTATCCGCATTTGGAAAGCTTAGCCCAAATCCATTTCAGCCTGAATTTGGTGCTTTGCTGGTGAGCAATAGTTGTCTTACAAAAGAGAAATTTTTTTATGCGGAACAGATAAATTTCCATTTTATTTCGGCTACTTTGGCATCATGCTTGTTATTATGCTCAGTTTCTATGTTGAGTTGTTTAATTTTCTTTGTGATTTGGTAATCTTTGAAAATTTATGCAGTAATGATAAGAAGATGAGTGAGAATATTTACTACAACAGTAAAGTTTCCCGTCACATTATGATGTTCTAATAAGGGTTTCAAAACGGGTTGACGGATCAGGTTTGATTTTCATCTGAAATTGGCTTGACTCGAATATTGTCAATGCGAAGCTAACCCGTTTAATAAATGGGTCAAAAACATCAACCTTAATTCAAACCGTTAGAAATCCGAATGGCTTGAACCTGACCCGTAAATTCATTTTTGTTAAAGAATTTTGTATAACTTATAAACTATAAAATATAATATTTTTTATCAAAAATAAGAAGATTATACCTCACTACTGAATATATATATATTAAATGGGTAGTTTTTTTTATAAAAATGAGTTTGTAGGTCTACTCGAATCCAATTGATTTTCTCCTCTGGCTTTCTCATCCTCAAACTTTCTCATGCTAATATGATTTTTTTATTTTCAAGCATAAAATTAAGAGAAATTATATTATTACCAAACTTCCAAATTTTAGTTTCTATCTACAAACTACCAAAAGGACTCATAGCATAAATACTTGAAAAATAAAATATATATTATCTCAATAAAAATGATAGCTTAAGAATGCTATGGACGGCTCTATTAATAATGTTTTGGCCTATTCTATTCATCAAAGACATGTAATAAGCCAAAAAATTTGTTTATGATTTATCACTATAAAATTTTCAACATTATTTATTTCTTTTATTCTTTTGATTGAGCCTTTCAAGATGGCTTAGACGCTAATCCTTCAGATTTAGGACCCCACTAAGAAAAATAAAGTTAAATTTTTGGATTTTTTTTATTTTGAAAATTAATTAGATTGGACAAATGTGGATAAACAAGTCTAAGGTCAATTCAAATTATAGAAATATATAAATTATTGATCGAGATCAAATTATTTGGCCATTTAAATTAATTTTGTTATTATGTCATGATTACTTGGAGTTAATATTTTCAAAACCTCATTCTTTTGTAAGTTGTAGAGGTTTTTAGATTATATATATATATATATATATATATATATAATCAGCTTGAAAGGTGTTAGATTTGTTTTGAGATATATTAAAAAAAACAATAATAAAAATAACATCACGTCTTGATCCAACTATGTGGAGTTGGCTTCATAATTTTTTTTCTCTATTATGTTATATTAAAAGTATTAAAGAATTTATATCATAATTATTCGATAAATTTTACGCTGACTGTCGACTACCTAACGCAATCTTCCATTTTTCTCATCTAGGATTTGAGACATGGCAATGGTAGTGTTAAGATGATGGTGAGACTCATCTTATCAGTAGAATTCAAATTAGATGGTTGAACTGGAGGAATGCATCGGACTTTTTATGTGATAGAAAAGTCCTCAAACTTAAGGGAAAATTCTATAAGATGGTGGTGAGATCAACAATGTTTTATGGTGCATAATGTTTAGGGTGGATTTAGAAGTATAATATTAAGTAAAGTGTTGCATATATGAGGATGCTCAGGCCGATGAGTGGATTTTCCCTTAGAGACATGATACGAAATGAGCATATAAGTGAAAAGGTTGGAATAGCTCCAGTGGAAGATAAGATTAGAGAGACTCGCCTTAGATGGTTTGATCACATAAAACGACAGACTTCTGATGACCTAGTTAGAAAAGTAGATGTATTAGATTTGACTTATATTAAAAAAGATAGAGGTAGGCCTAAAAAACATGGTTATGAAATATTAAAAATTGTCTTTCTTTATTAGATTTAAATGAGAATTTGATTTTTAACATGACGCAATGGAAAAAAATAATTCATGTAGCCGACCCCACTTAGTAGGACAAAGGCTTGATGTTGTTGTTGTCGTCGTTGTTGTTGTACGTTCTATTAAAAGTCTAATCATCATTTTGTGATTTCAATCTTAAAAAAAATCATATAATAATCATTAAAGAATCTTTCCATACATTTTATTTTGAATAAGAATTTCATCAAAGAACTCATAATCTACAAAAGTTAGATAAAATTATAATATATTCAAGTCTTGTATATCACTCAGTGTGTGCAAATATATCTTTTTTTTTATATATATAGTTATAAATGAATAAATGCATAATAAAAGTAATAAGAAGACTAGAAGAGGATGGCTTCGGTAATAGATTATGTTCTTCGGCCTACTTTAGGAGTTACAAAGTTTTAAGATATAGATATTTGGCTGTTTGACCTAAGTATTATATGCGACGGTTTAGGTCGGCAAAAAGCTCATACTTTATTATGTCATCCGATCGCGTCAAAAAACGAGAAATACCGAGCAATACCAAACAATAACGAGGAATATCATCATGTGAAGACTCAATACCGAGTTATACCGAGCTATACCGAGCAATACCGAGTTTTTCCTAGAAAAATCGGTATTTTTTTGTATAACTCGGTATTGCTCGGTATAGCTCGGTATAACTCGGTATTGGTCTTCATGTGATGGTATTCCTCGTTATTACCAAATAATACCTAGCAATACCGAGCAAATACTGAGTTTTTTTGTGGGATTTTAGTGCCGACCGGACGTTCTTCTACGTACGTTCACCGGACCAAATAAAAGTTCTTTGTTTAGACATTAGTGTTTGGAATTAAATGGCTGTTGTTGAGTTTGAAAAAAAGTGAGAACTTTAATATAATGATTTAAATTATATTTATTGTATTATTTATTTTATATGAACTTATTTATTTAGCTTTTAGTATAATAATATTTGTTTGAACTTGGTGAATTGCATCTTTATAAATGAACAAAATAACACACATTGAAAGAGGAAAAAATCCATTGAAATGTATATTACATGATTATTGTATAATATGAAATACACTTTGTGATGTCAATTTCGGGTTAAGGGTCGGATTCGGGTGGAACCTGAAACTGACCCGATCTTATTTAGGTTGATCATAACCACACCCAATTTTTTACAAACGGGTCAGTTTGTTCAACCCGTACTAGACCCGTCTGGTTTTTGGGTTGACCCAACCCAACATGGATTTATAGGATTTGGTTGAAGAAACACACGAAAGTGAGGAAGATAACAAACTCTTATCGCTACTTCTAGTTCCGGTGAACTGTCTCGACCATCGATTCGGCAGGAAGGAACGTCGTCGAAGGAGGCGAACTGTCCCGACCTCCGATTCATGAGGAAGATAGCGAGCTCCCGCCTCCTGTCGTTACTACCTGTTTCGGCAATGGCATGGTGGCGCGGCGTAACAACAACATCTTGACTCTCGCAAAAAGACGCGATGGTGACGTGCACGTGAAGTCCGAAGTGACGCGACTCAACGCGTTGGGCAACACAGGCTGGGTGGGAAGCAGACGTGAACATGCCGATTTTTTGGATCATTTTCGGGTTTTCGAGTCAACTCGAATCCTACCCGATTTTTGAAACAAGTCGGTTTGTTGATCCTGAACACGACCTTTTTCACAAACGGGATAAACCTAACCCAAAATTTTCTGATCAGATTCGAGTCGGATTTTCAGGTCGTGTCAAATAATGACACACCTATATAATGGTTGGTTTTATTTTGAATTTCATAGTTAAGCTTTTTGTGATAGCAAATTTATGGAATAGGTGATTTTGAGGGAAATTAAATTAAAAAAAAAAAAAAGATAAAATCATGTGGTTTAATTTAACTTGGTATATGAAAGATTAGACCAAAGTGAATGATAGCTTACATGCTATGACATTTATAATTGCAATTAGTATTATAGTTTGACCTTCTCTAGTATAATTTGGGCCCATCTAAACTCAAATAAGATAATTTTTTAGTATCGTAGATATGAAAGAGTTTAATTTGACTGTAAATTTTTTTAAATAGAAGTTTAAATGATTCTAATTTAAATACAAAATTTCGTACATAAATAGTTTATCAAGATATCTGCCAATTAAATATTTTTTAATCTATCAAATATTATAGATCCCCCGTTCCAAAAAAAAAAAAAATCTATCAAATATTATTATTAAAGTAATAGTTGATTTTAATTATTAAAATAATAGAACTAATTATTTTAATTTGAAGATAAACAACGGTTATTTGAATCACTAAATTCAGTATTTTAGACTTTTTGAAACTAAATTCAAAATAATAATGATCAGAAAATCAAAATTATTTTAACAATTAGTAATAATCAGATTCAGTGAATTTATAATTTATAAAAAAAAAAACATGGTAACTCGTCATTAGAGCTTACTTAAAAAGCTCCTTAACCTTCTTGTCTTCCCTCGCTCGTCTGCAACTTTTTAAAAAAAAACTCTGCTATTCTTCTCTATTCCCACGGAGGCACGGATCCTCCCCAAAGCGCCCTGCTTTTTTTCCCTCCATCTCCTCTGTTTGCCCTGTTCTCCGTTTCACAAGGTATCAGCGCTCGCAAAAGGATTCCTTTTTCTTTTAGCACCGCAAGGAAAGTTTCCGGTTCTTTCCTTCCTCCTTACAGCTCTCTGTTTATCTTTCTGAGAGAGAGAGAAGAAGAAGAAGACGAAGAAGAAGAAGAAGAAGAAGAAGAAGGAGGAGAAGAAGGAGGAGGAGATGGGAGCAGGAAGAGGCCTCGTTGCTGGTTCAGGGAAAGAGTTTGTGGTCATCAATGCCGAGGATTCTTGGAGGGTGAGTGCGCCATTGAAGCCAGCTCTTGAACTTCTGTTACTGTATTTTGCATATTCTTCCGTTGCCTCTTTTTCTTATAGCTTCTCTCCCTTACTGTGAAGTTGCTTATGCAAGTTCTTGGCTTCTGATCAGGAGAAACCTTTACAAGTATTAGGAAGCGGGGTTTGCCAGATTTGTGGAGAACATATTGAGATATTGGAATTCAACAATATCAAAGAGTTCTTTGTTGCTTGCAATGAATGTGCGTTTCCTGTATGTAGACCCTGCTATGAGTATGAGAGAAGAGAGGGTGATCAAGTCTGTCCTCAATGCAAGACTCGATATAAGCGGCAAAAAGGTTCTCTTATGGGGTGAAATTTCTTATTGTAACGTCTAATATCTACAGAACATAGAAAAACTATTTCCATGCATGTAAACATAAAACTAAGGCTTCGTTTGGGACGTCTTTCTTATAGGACGGCTTTCCTAAAAATCTGCTTTAAGAAGCAGTAAGAAAGCCGTCACAAATGAAGCCTAAAACTTCATATATGTAAGGATGGTATTATGTCTAACAGGTAGTCGACGGGTAGACGGCGATGAGGAAGAAGACGAAGCTGATGACTTGGATCATGAATTTAGTTTATGCAATGCTAATTGGATCAGCTCTGGTTCAAAGTTTGACATCCAAAACAAATCGGATTGGTGGAGCTCTCACAGTAACATTGGGGCTGGCACCTCTGATATCTATCATTCTAATTCAAAGAATAATACTGGTTTCCCTTGTATTACTTATGGAGAGGTACAAAACTTAACTAAAACCTCTTATAAGCAACAATGCTAAGTAATTTCTTCAATCACTCATGTTTTTGTCTGTATTTAGGTTGATGGTCATGATCCTCAAGCTCTAATAGTTCCTTCATCTGTAAACTCCCGGGACTCTCTGGATCAGGTGCTCTGTCAAGCAGAATCAAGCACAGCTCGTAAGTTTATGAAGTTGTCCATATATGTATATATAAATATATATTTCAAGGGTAGTTTCATACACTGTTATTTATTTATTTGCTTCAGTTCAGCCAAGACCAATGAACAAAAGTAGAGACATGTCATTATATGGTTATGGAAGTATTGCAGGGAAGAATACAGTAGAAAATTGGAAGAGAAAGCAGCTTCATATGCAGCAAAAGACTGGAGCAGGTGGCTGTGCTTTCCAAGAAGATTATATGGATTATGAAGAAGGTGATTCTGATACACTAATGTGAGTTTCCAATCCATGAGTTCTTATTTGGGTAGATAAACACTTTGCATTCTAATTACTGTATGGTACTGCTGACTCGAATCCAAAACTTCTTAGTTGATAATCAAAACTCTGAACCAACAGATCAAAATAAGTTGTGTTTCATCAGTATATTGATTGTGAATTATATAGTTGTTCAAATTACTCAACCACCAATATGCACGCCATGGATCACAGCAGCCATGTTTTTTACCACTCAAGCACAACCAAATTTTAACTATCGTACAAGTTGCTAGCAATGTTCTAAATTATGTATGTAGGCATAAAATGGAGCATTTTAATTGTTGTGGGGTGAGGTCTAAGTGTTATAAATTTTGTATATTAAATGTTTTATAAATAAAAATATGAATAAAAATAAAATTAAAATTTAGAATTTTTTGATAAATTTTAAAATTTAAATTTCATATTCAGTTCATTCATATTTTAGTTCAAAAAATCTAATAATGCATGCATAAAATAATGATGAGAAATGTAACAACCAAGTTTTCAATTGAGTGGGCCAGTTAAACAAAATTAAAAGATACAGAAAACTATATATAAAAATCATACTACTTAAACAAAAATTCAAAATCTTTATATATAAATCATTGAGAAAAGTATCAAATTGATCATTTGACTCTTTATATGAAAAATCAAAATAGTCTCCAAATAAATTAAATGATAATTTTGATCTCTCAACTCCTTAAAGAGAAATAAAAATAATCCCATCATAAAATTATTTTGAGACAGTGGCGGAGTCACAATGGGGGCGCTGGGGCCACAGTGACTAAATATTTTGCTGTAGATGCGGTTGGTGGTGATGAAGAAGGATTGCATGGAGAGGAAAAGTGGAGCAACTATGGAGCCATCGATGAGGAAGAACTGCAGGCGGGAGTCACTTTTATAAGTTTATCCCTCCTGACCGCAGGCCCCTAGCGTCTAGGCATCAATCAGGCACCGTAAATAGTAAATACTCTCTCTCTCTCTCTCTCTCCAGCTTTCATAATTAAGATGGCTGTGGAGTGGTTGAGTGGGGATGGCACATTCAGCCATTAGAAGAAAAAAAAAATCCCCTCAACTGATTTGAAGAATTTTCATTAAAATAATTTTTTTTCTTTGAAATAGTTCTCTAAAAAAATTTGGGATTTAGTTACATAAAATAAATGCTCTTATTTTCTTGTTACTTTGATAAATTAAAAATAATATTTTTATCACATATTTATCTTCTCAAATTATTTCTGTTTTTACATAAATTTTTCCTTGAGATATTTTTTACGCCTTTTGCTATAAACTTTTTTCTTAAAATATAATTTTAAATTGTTTTTACAAACTTTTTGGATAGAGACTAATTATTATTATCTATTTTTATATACAAATACTAAGTTAATTCATTATGAGTAGTAATTTTAAAATAGTCCAACTTAATTGTATTTGATAACAATTTTATAATAAATAAAATAGTTATTTAATAACTCCTTTTAGTGCATAATAATATATTTATTAATAAGTCTGAATAATTTTTTTCATAGAAAGTTCGCAATCTTGAAATTATATTTATAGAAAGTTCGAATTTAAAACTACCATTTAAATTCTTAAATATTTAAAGTAAAAAAATGGAAATAATAGAATTTTATGTAATACAACTAGTGGTGTAAACGAGTCGAGTCGAGTCGAGTTTTAGCCCTTATCGAGTTCGGCTCGTTAGATAGAAAGCGAGCTCGAACTCGAGCTCGTGTCACTGTTAACAAGCTCGAGCCGGCTCGCGAGCCGGGGGAGGGAATTTTTACGCCCGGGGAGCCGGCCCACGAGCCAAACCGGCTCAAGCTCGAACTCGAGCTCGATTATAGGCTCGAGCTCGAGCTCGAAGCTCGATAAGCTCGACTCGCGAGCTCGTTAACGAGTCAAGTTCGAGCCGGCTCACGAGCCGGCTCGGCTCACTTACACCCCTAAATACAACTAATAGAATATGGAATTAATAGTTTTTTAAAAATAAATATTGATATTTTTTAAAGTTAAAAATATTATTTCACTATAAACTATTAAAATAAAAGACAATAGAAGTCAACCTAAAAAATTAAGTGTATTTTACAAATTATTAATTTATGCTCCCATTAATAAAAATTTCTGGCTCCGCCACTGATTAGAGATCATTTAAACATTCATAAAAAGTCACGGAATCATTTTTTATTTTTTTCTCAAAAATCACACTTCATCCAAATTCCAAGGATCTCTTAAACACAAAGACTAAGTCATCTAACCTAGAAATATCAAAATAATTGCTAAATATCTCATGGATTTAACCCTTAGAGGTCCACAAATGTATCGGCGAAGAGTCAGGACTTTAGGCTTCGTCAATGAAAGAGATATTACAGTGGCATCATCGAGTGTACTTGTGATCAAGATGAAAAGAACAGGTTGGCGAGTCTATAGAGACAAAGCAATCCCATTGAGTCAGCAAGGGTGCGAAATTAATGAGGGAGATTAATTAAGAAGGTAAACTAGTTTGTGAGAGTTAGTGATTAAGCTAGCCGATGAGGGAGTGAGCGTGCTTTAATGTGAGAGAAGCAGCGTTTGAACTAATCCATGAGGAAGAGAGGCTGCGAGGAAGAAGTGGCAAGGAGGTGGGTTGATGAGACTTGAGAGTATGAGACAGCAATGCGCGATACACGAAAAATTTGGTTTCAAGTAGACCCGTTTAACAAACGGGTCGAATTTGGGTTCTAATTACAAACCCGTTTGAAAATTCGGATCATGTCCGAGTCAACATGCTAACCCGAAAATGACCGGCATTTTTAATCGGAAAGGAAATTTAAGCCAAAAAGCTGTATCTATCAATATATCTATATCAACATTTTTTCCAAACAGCGGATCTGGAAAAAAAATCTAATAATCTTCATGCTTTAACAATAATCTTATTGCTTTTGCAGAATGGATGAAGCAAGAAAACCACTGTCAAGAAAATTACCAATAGCATCAAAGAAGATCAACCCATACAGAATCGTAATAATTCTTCGGCTCATCATTATTGGCTTCTTTCTCCATTACAGACTTCTAAATCCAGTGGAAAATGCCTATGCATTATGGCTAATATCAGTCATATGTGAAGTATGCTTTACAGTATCATGGCTATTGGATCAGTTCCCAAAATGGTACCCAATAGAGCGAGAAACTTTCTTAGATCGCCTTTCATTAAGGTACGAGAAAGAAGAAGAACAATCTCAGTTAGCAGATATTGATGTTTTTATCAACACAGAAGATCCTAAGAAAGAACATCCTCTAATAACTGCCAATGCAGTTTTGTCTATACTAGCTGTTGATTATCCGGCTCATAAAGTTTCATGCTATGTATCTGATGATGGAGCTGCAATGCTCACATTTGAGGCACTCTCTGAAACATCACTATTTGCCAAAAAATGGGTTCCATTCTGCAAAAAATTTAACATTGAACCTCGCGCTCCAGAATCCTATTTCAATCAGAAAATAAATTACCTAAAAAGCAAAATTGATCCAGCATTTGTTGGGGAGCGCCGCGCAATGAAGGTCTCGTTACATTCAATTTCAAGTCACGTAAATTGAATTTAGGGAGATTTACATACATACATACCACTTTAGTTCATGCTATTCACATATTTGACATTCAAAATATTAATATTACATGCCTATCATCCATAGAACAAATATGAGTGCATTAAATGAAATATTAAAGTTTGTAGAGTTGTATGAGTAGTAGGAATGAAATATATGAGTGATATATTTGATATTAAAATTGTATATGGGTGGTAAGTTTGTAATATTAATATTTTGGGTGTTGGATATGTAAATAGCAGGAAATAAAATGGTATGTATGTAAATCCCCTTATATTTATTGTAATTTTTCTGAACCTTCAACCTTTTGAATTAGGTCAGAAATAATTTTTAAATTATAGTGCTGGATGGGCAAATATACACAAAAGAATGCTCCTATGTTAAATTTGACTCTGTTATTGCAAATGCAGAGAGAATATGAGGAGTTCAAGATTCGGATTAATGGATTAATTTCCATGTCGCAAAAAGTTCCTGAAGGAGGTTGGACAATGCAACACGGAGTTCCTTGGCCGGGAAATGATGCCCAGGATCATCCAGGAATGGTTCAGGTGATTGTAAATCAAGTGTTTTTATAGTTTTTTGTCCAAAACACAAAGAGGGGGAAGAAAGCTATTTTATACGTGTCCAACAAATCACCAGATGCTTAAATTCTTCATAAAACAAAAAATATGACAATGTTACCGTTATTTAGATGTATTTCAATGTGGGCACATCATAAGTAAAATAAGGGTTGAATTCCTAATTTCAAGTGATTTGTACTCACAGCCTTTAAAACAATTGACCTATGGTTCAACAATGGGTAACTACCAAGTGCGCTTTAGTACTTCAGTATTGAAAAGCTAATTGAATGTCAAAAAGTTGTTAGGAATGATTAAATTTCAGGCAAAATCAAATAAAAACTAGAACAAACACACCAAAGATCTTAAATACAAGACAAGCAAATTCACAAGATTTGGTGAGATTCTCCTATATCCAAAGTCACAAGTAGATTAAATATTTCATTAAGCTTCAAAACATATATATGAAAAAATTACACTTCAAATGCAAAATGAAAAAGATGTCATTTTATTTGTATTGATAATTGAGAGGGAACATGCTACAAAGGTGAGGTTGAACATGAAGAATAAGATATTGATGTTACATCTATTTTCTCTAATCTCTTCTCTAGTGCGAAAGCTTCTCCTCTCTTCACTTCTCTATTGCGAGAACTTCTCTCTCCTATGGCAGAAAGCTTCACCCCTTCTTTTTTTTTTCTTTTTTTTTCACTCTTAATTTGTCTGGGTAAATGATTGAGAGGGAGCATACTACAAAAATGAGGATTGAATGTTGAAAGCATCTCCCTCTCTTTGCTTCTCTCTACTATAGTCAAAAGCTTCACACTTTTCCATTTTCTTTTATTTTTTCTCTATTCTTGTAGGATGCATATAACCATTGATTTATTTTCTTTTACAGCTGCAACATGAGTGGTAGGTGTAAAGGATTATATATGAATGAAACTTATTTAGGTAGTCACTAACTTGAAATCAAGTGATAATAAATCTTGAGTTGGTAGCCATCAATCTTAAAAAATCGAGTATAAATAAATCTTGAACTTTGTAGTCATCAATCTTGAAAATCAAAACAAAATCTTATCCAGAATGGATGAAGAGTTTAAGCTCCAAACTTAGAAATCTCCTACTTTGAGTTTAAATTTATGATGTAGCAACTTAGTGGTCGTTTATGAATGATTTTCCATGTAAAACCTATATATCATCATTCTTAGAGAACAATTGAGATGTTATAAAGCCTCCGATTTCTAGCAGGTACCACTTCTATGAGAATATCATCAGGATTTCAACTCTTTTAATTTTGATGAGTTGTAAGACATTAATTTCAAGCAATTTGCATAAAAAGTGGTGCATGGGTTATATGTGCTATGTTCAAGACTAGAAGCTGTGTTCTTTGTCAATTGAATAACATTTTGTCTCTCACAAAAAGGAGTTATGCCTTCTTAAGATTAGTTTAATTTTTCGTAAAAAAACATTTAGCTAGAAAATCTCCTTACGGAAATCAATGCACATATATATTTCACTACCATAGTTAATAGCATGACTATCTTATTATGTTATACGACTGGTAGCTGTGTTGCCCAAAGTATAGATATACTCGATGATATTTTTTGTAAGCTATGTTGCACCGATACGGATACGGCGACATTGATACGACATGATACGAATACGGGACATGTCAATTCTTAAAAATATAGGATACGGGTACAGCGCTGACACTGCATTATCATTTATAAATCTGACATAAAAATTAAGAAAGCAATCAACGCATAATATTTGAAATTACAAAAAAAAAAAAAGTAACATCATTTGTAGCCTTGTAGCTTATAATATCAAAATAAAAGTAAGCATTAAATGTCTAGTACAACAACAAAAGCATAAACATATATTGTCTAACACATGAAGTTTCAACAATTCAATTGAAGGAATGATATGATTAGCTTCTTCAGTGGTTTGTCTTTAAAATTCTATATCATCTTCAATAAATATCATAGCTTCTAATTAAGAAATATCAAGTGAAAGATTAGCAAATTTTATCTAAATGTGATAAATAAATAAAGTCCAAAAGTATAATGCATGTAATAGTATCCATGGTTACAAACTTTTGTTGGGGAAGTAAACCACGCAATGAACACAAACAAGAAAGAGAAAATGCAACGAAAAGAAAGTATACCAAGATTTAACGTGGAAACACCTGAAACCGGAAAAAAAAAAACATAGCGCCACACTACACCCAAAAATTCACTATGAAAATTTAGGAGAAATAGTATAGATCTCTCCTTATTTCTCTTTACCCCTGTACCATTCTTTTACAAACAAACAAAGATAAACATATAAAAACCACCAAGGTATGCAATCCTTAATAAAAAGGAGAAAGAAAACCATCAGCCCGTCTCCCGGAGCCACGTTTGGAGCGCTACAGCGCTCAACTCTCCTTCTCCAGTCTGCCTGATAACGCCGCAGCGCCAACATTTGGAGCACCATAGTGTTCCTCTCTCTGTATGTCTAAAAAGCAAACTATACAGTGCCACAACACTCAGGTACACAACGCCATAGCGTTGTACGGTTGTACGGGAAAAAAATTCTTTGGTCCAAGCACCCAAACTCAAGAAAGGGGAGGACCCAACGAGCTCAACTGATAGAATTGAGGCCCAAAATAGCAGTACAACACGATTGATCGATACAGTCAGATTCCACACTAAACTAACAACATTAATGTCATGCTCTCGAAGGGGTAGTGATAAATTAGACTCTCCCATGAAATAACTTTAATAAATACCATATTTGAATCTTACCTTCAAAAGTTGTTTTTTTATGTTCGTAATGCATATGCTTGAGCAGGTATTTCTGGGTCATGGCGATTCATTGGATGCAAATGGAGATAAGCTACCACGTTTAGTTTATGTATCTCGAGAAAAAAGACCAGGATTTAATCACCATAAAAAGGCTGGTGCCATGAATGCTCTGGTGATGTATTTTCCAAGTCCCCCGTCTCTTTAAGGTTTCTGCAAGAAAATTTTACAGCGACTGAGTTAGTCTTTCTGATTATTTTTCGATAAATCCAATTCCAGATACGTGTTTCAGGAGTATTATCAAATGCTCCTTTCATTTTGAACCTGGATTGCACACATTATATAAACAACAGTAAAGCTTTAAGAGAAGCCATGTGCTTTATGATGGATCCCACATCAGGAAGAAAGGTTTGCTTCGTGCAGTTTCCATACAAATTTGATGGGAATAATCAAAATGACAACTATTCGGATCGTGTAGTTTTCTTCAATGTATGACACTAAGTTATTAAATATTTGCAAACGATTTTAGATAGTTCAGTATCATATATATGCTGATACTTTACTATGTTGCACTTCCATTCACGAACAGATTAACATGAAAGGTCTTGATGGGATCCAAGGACCAATCTATTTAGGCCACGGGTGGAGTACCTGGGGCATGTGATATCCCAGGAGGGAGTTGCTGCAGATCAGTCCAAGATAGAGGCAAAGTTACATCAAGTGGGCCCCCCTTGATGTTTCTGCCCCCCTCTGGCTGGGCTTCTTTCGCCGGCTGTAAGCCAAGACCGGTCCAGGGTGGACCGGTCCAGCTGGCCCAGGATGGGCCGGCGTAACAGAATCCTGTTCTTTCGATAATCTAATGTGGCTAGTGCGCAATATATTTATTGTAACACCCAACAATACCCCTTATCAGTATTGTAAAATGTCAGATAAATAAACATAACATTTATCTTCTTTAACATATGATATTGTACATTATTTGAATATCTATATAAAACATCCAACAACATTACATTTATTACATAAACGGAAGCATCTAAGTCGTAATGTTATTAGATATTTTATATAAATGTGATAAATAAATAAAGTCCAAAAGTATAATGCATGTAATAGTATCCGTGGTTACTAACTTTTGTTTGGGAAGTAAACCACGCAATGAACACAAACAAGAAAGAGAAAATGCAACGAAAAGAAAGTATACCAAGATTTAACGTGGAAAAACCTAAAACCGGAAAAAAAATCATAGCGTCACACTACACCCAAAAATTCACTATGAAAATTTAGGAGAAATAGAATAGATCTCTCCATATTTCTCTTTACCCCTGTACCATTCTTTTACAAACAAACAAAGATAAACATATAAAAACCACCAAGGGATGCAATCCTTAATAAAATCGAGAAAGAAAACTATCAGCCCGTCTCCCAGAGCCACGGCTCCACGTTTGGAGCGCTACAGCGCTCAACTCTCCTTCTCCAGTTTGCCTGATAACGCCGCAGCGCCAACATTTGGAGCACCATAGTGCTCATCTCTCTATCTGTCTAAAAAGCAAACTATACATCGCCACAACACTCAGGTACACAACGCCATAGTGTTGTACGGTTGTACAGGGAAAAAATTCTTTGGTCCAAGCACCCAAACTCAAACAAGGGGAGGACCCAGCGAGCTCAACCGATAGAATTGAGGCCCAAAACAGCAGTACAACACAATTGATCGACACAATCATATTCCACACTAAACTAACAACATTAATGTCATGTTCTTGGAGGGGTAGTAATAAATTAGACTTTCTCCCATGAAATAACTTTAATAAATACCATATTTGAATCTTACCTTCAAAAGTTGTTTTTTTTATGTTCGTAATGCATATGCTTGAGCAGGTATTTCTGGGTCATGGCGATTCATTGGATGCAAATGGAGATAAGCTACCACGTTTAGTTTATGTATCTCGTGAAAAAAGACCAGGATTTAATCACCATAAAAAGGCTGGTGCCATGAATGCTCTGGTGATGTATTTTCCAAGTCCCCCGTCTCTTTAAGGTTTCTGCAAGAAAATTTTACAGCGACTGAGTTAGTCTTTCTGATTATTTTTTGATAAATCCAATTCCAGATACGTGTTTCAGGAGTATTATCAAATGCTCCTTTCATTTTGAACCTGGATTGCACACATTATATAAACAACAGTAAAGCATTAAGAGAAGCCATGTGCTTTATGATGGATCCCACATCAGGAAGAAAGGTTTGCTTCGTGCAGTTTCCATACAAATTTGATGGGAATAATCAAAATGACAACTATTCGGATCGTGTAGTTTTCTTCAATGTATGACACTAAGTTATTAAATATTTGCAAACGATTTTAGATAGTTCAGTATCATATATATGCTGATACTTTACTATGTTGCACTTCCATTCACGAACAGATTAACATGAAAGGTCTTGATGGGATCCAAGGACCAATCTATTTAGGCACTGGATGTGTTTTCAGAAGGCAAGCTATTTATGGAATTGAAGCTCCAATGAAAGAAAAGCACCCGAGAAATTCATGTAATTGTTGGCCAAAATGGTGCTTTCTTTGCAATCCAGCTAAAATAACAGGTAAAAGAAGACATAAAAATAAGGAAAATAAGAAATTTCTGAAGCAGAATAGGGAGATATCTGCGCAAGTTCATTCACTTGAGACCATCCTAGAGGATGTTGAAGGCTTGATCCTAGAGGATGTTGAAGGCTTGATTGCTGACTATTACTTAAAGCTTGTTTTAATTAGTTTGAAAAGTATTATACTAAGTTTAATTTACTTGCAGGTGAAGATCTAGAGATGTCTTCCTTAGTGCCTTTAGACAGGCTTGAGAAGAAATTTGGCCGTTCACCTGCATTTGTAGCTTCCACACTTACAGAAAATGCTAGGATTTCAATGTTCAATAGTTATGCTTCAGCTTTGGAGGAGGCATTGCAAGTTGTAAGTTGTGGTTATGAGGACAAGACCGCATGGGGAAAGGAGGTATGTTGAGCTAATTTTTCAACTTGTGGCCCATTTGATTCTTTGTAGATAGAAAATTCTAATTAGAAAATGACGGAATTTTTTATAATCCAACATTTAGTAAGATATACTTCACAAATCAACATGGATGGTTTTATGCTTAATTTGGTCCAGTGTCCTCCCACTAAATTTTGTGAAAAAAGTTTTAAAGCGTCAACCTTCCGATGACCCAATTAGGAGAGTAGATATTTTAGATCCGGCCTATGTTAAGAGAGGTTTGAGGTAGACCTAAAAGAACTTTATTATGATCTTTATTTATTAGATTTAAATGAGAATTTGACTCTTAATAGAACACAATAGAGAAAAAGGATTCATGTAGCCCACATCACATGGTGGGATAAAAACTTGATGATGTTGTTGTTGCAAACAGTATGCATTGAATTGCATGTACACTTTTTCTATGGTCATAAGCATATGAACTTATAAAACAACTTGTATATCTACGTGCGAATATAATAATTTTATTACATAAAACAAAACAAAAGCATATTGTCAGCACAACTATACCAATCAAAGCCTTAAACTACATAAAACCTTCAAATATAATGATTTCATTTTCACATAGAAGATGATCGAGGAAAAAAATCGTCAATTTCTAAAATGAGTTAGATAAATGATTAAAATCAATTTCTTGCTTCTTTTACTAGTTATACCTTTTTTTTTTTGTGCAGGTGGGCTGGATTTATGGATCAGCAGCCGAGGATGTGGTCACTGTCTTCAAGATGCATTGCCATGGTTGGCGATCTGTTTACTGCATGCCAAGAAGAACAGCATTTAAGAGTTCTATTCCAACAGATCTTTCAGATTATCTTCATCTAGTTCTTCAGCAGGCGCAGGGATCAGTTGAGATTTTTCTCAGCAAGCATTGTCCTATTTGGTATAGCTATGGAGGTGGTATGAAGTGTCTGCAGCGATTATCCTACATAAGTTTGACTATACATGCTTGGACTGCTCTTCCCTTGATTACTTACTGCATTTTGCCTGCCTTCTGTCTTCTAACAGGAAAATTTTTTATCCCTGAGGTATAGTTCATCTTCTCATTTGTATTTTCTTCAGATGCAAAACAAGCTAACTGTCATAGTTTGCTAATTTTATGAATATGATATTCTTGCTTGCTACATTGAAGTCCTTTTTACCAACATCAAGGAAATTTTGAGCTATGAACATGAGGTGATTCCAAAAGATAATTAAATCACATACTTCAGATTAATAGTTGTAGATGTATATTAAGTTAAAAAGAAAACAATAAACTGAGATAGATGATGAAACATGAAAGATGAAAAATTACAAATCTTTCAAGATAGATTCTTAAGAGAGATGAATAGAACAAAATAAAATTAAACCAAATTTTATGTAAAATAAAATGATTTTATGTCTTAATAAGATTTTCATTAAAATTTTAGAAAGTTTACAATAATATGTACATAAATAAAGAGAAATGTTTGTGGAGTTTAAAGGTACAAAAGATTATAAAGGCAAAGAAATATTTTAAAAGAATAGAATAAAAAAAGGGTATAAAGATCATCATGTACATGTCAATTAGTTCCAACCAACGGATCAACCAGTATTTACTTGTCTTTTACACACACATTATAATCACAGTTATAACAGTAATCTTAATCACATATCCACATTCATTTCTAATATATTGCAGCAAAATAATACATAATTAAGCATAATTCAAAAAATGTCAAAAATGTCCTAACGATAGACAACAAAAATCATACTGAGCAAAAATTTACATTTTTAGAATTTAACCAAATTATTAAATATTGTATAAAATAATATTCTAAATTTTTAGTTGAACTAAATCACTATTTTTAAACATCAAAATAAATTTATGAGTAAACAAAAATCATTGTAGTTTTAAAATCACCGGGTAAAAAATCTAAAATAAATACTCAAAACGTTCTTAATTTCAATCTATATAAAATATAAAAATTACGCGGTAAAAATTTTACTAATACGAAATTATTCTCATTTTTTTTAACAAAACACAAATTTGATCGAAAAAAAATATTAAAAACATAAAATTTTTTAAATCAGAAATAGAGTAAAGATTCCTTACAGGGAGACAAGTGATTCTCCCAACTAAGTCGACTAACGAAAATCATTTTGCAACCTCCAAATCCGGACTTCTATTTTCTCTCTCCTCACTTATTTCTCATATTCTCTTATTCATTCTATATTGCCGAATGTAAGAAGAGAAAAAAAAGTATTTAATGATTTAAAAAGATAATACATTGAGATATTTTGAATAAAATAATAATTTAATATTATATAATTAATTTAATCAATATTTCAATATGAAATTCATATAAATCATTTTAGGCTTTAAAAATTATAGAAAAATATTCATAAAATAAATCATTCTATTTAAAAAATATTGGTGAAATCAATTTGTAAAATGGATACAAAATCCTCACTTGTACCGAAAGGTAACAATTTCTTAAGGATTTTTATCGTAGCCAAATTATGAAAAAATTATTGCAAGTAAAATATTACAATAACAATGTTATGGCGAAGACGGTTTGTGATTTAGACTTATATTGACTCTAGAAAAAAAATTTAACAGAGTCAACATATAGGTTATTACACACCCACTAGGGGAATGGAAAATTACAGAGGAATTAGGAAAAATGAAGGAGATCAGAAGTTAAAGAAGGTGAAGATCTCAATCTTTGAGTGGGAGGATGCACAAAAGTAGATTTGCAAGGTAAAGAGATATTTTACCGTCGATGGGTTGACGGAGGATGAGAGATTGACGATAATTGGCCTAAGTTTGAAAGAGAATTCATTGGCGTGGCACCAATGGAAAGACATGAGATGGCCTGTACGGAGTTGGAGGCAGTTCAAGGAGTGCTAAGAGGAACATTTTCAAACCAGCAAGGTAGGGGACTTCTATGAGCAGTTCTTTGCCCTGACCCAAGAAGGCTCGGTGGCAAAATATCGCAAGAGATTTGAGTACCTAGCAACTCAACTAAATCGGCTGTCGGAGACTGTGCTGGAGGGGAACTTCATTAAAGGGCTCAAATAATGGCAGCATAGGAGAGTTACCTTCTAGATTATAGATTTTTAGAATAAAAGGAGGCACAGGTTAAGAAAAGATACTTTGACGATGATCAAGTGAATAATGCTAGTTATTGCGCAGTCAACCCTGGTGCCAAATCATACAAGTGAATCAATTAGAGAGAATAGACAATAACTTTTGATGTATGAAATTTTTTAATATAGGTATGAAATTTGGTAGCAGGTGCACATTTGTTATTGATGGACCATTTTGGTGTACAATAAGTGTTCGGAGGAGGTCTTTCATAGCTTTTAGATGAGATACAATTCAAACTAGTTGAAATTGAATAATGCTTGCCCGTTATTATAACAATATTTTTGGGGTGCCGCATGGATATATATTTAGCCATTGACAAGTAATCAAGTTCATGAAAAACTAATCTCTCCAAATGGGAGATTGTCAGATGATATGAAGATAAATTTAGAGTTCTCTTAATATGACATACAATATCCTCATTATTGTAAATCATATAACAAGAGTTAATTTGAGTTGTTTATGGGAGGGAATAACATGAGAATTATTAATTAATTTTGAGAGATGTGTAAGATTTAGCTTTCTTGTATGATTGGTAATTAGAGTTACCCTCTCTTCGAGCGAGAAAACCCTAAGCTAGGGCTGGTGAGCTGGTCGATTTTGCTGAGATTTCCTCCTCTGCGCCTTTGCGGCTCTTTGATTCTTCGTCAATCGTCATCGACTCATCACTCATCGACTCATTGGTTTGATTTTTTGGTTAACTTTCTTCTTTCTTTCGGTTATATACTTATCTTCTCATGAGTGTTGCAATTTATTTTTGATTTTTTGTTACGGAGGTACTACCACTGCTAGAGAAGAGACTATAGTGATTTTTTTTTAGTTATTTGCTTCTTCGATTCTTCTTTCCAATTTGAAGTTGTTGTGGGCCTGTGGCTTTGAAATACCGATTAGGGCTTCACATTTTGTGCTTTTAAGTTTTAACTGTTTAGTTCAATTAGTTTATTACTTTATTGTGAAATCATAAAGACAAACAGATTTTTGTTGAAATTCGGCTTAGGTTTTTAAAAATGGCATGCTGCCTGTGGGTTTTTGAAATTGGCAATATCTATTAGCAATTGGCTTGACTTTTTTGTTAGCAGTTGGCTACTGCCTGTGGGTTGTCTGCCTTGTGGCTGTTATCGGCCTTGTGAGTTGTGGCTGTTTTCACTTATTACTTATTTACTTTATTAGTATATCAGTGACTCAGTGTATTGAGTATTGACTATTGGAAATTTGGAATTCTTTGTTTCCTGTTGGTTGTTGCCTGTTGACTGTTGGAAGTGTTATATGCTATTACAACCCATTCTAAATTTTACTGATTTTGTATTTGTGTGTTGGATATTTTTTTAAGGTAAATTATCATTTTTCATTTGTATAATTAGATATTATTTTTGCAATAGATGGAGGATTCAAACACTCTTCCTAAAAATTATATTCAAGAAAATGATGAAGTTCGCATTGAAGACAATGTGGTAGAGGGTTTAGATGCATCTGATGATGCACGTGATGATGGTTCAGTCGTAATTAAGAAGTGTAGAATGATGACTTTTAAGGTTTGGGGTCATTTTGAGATGTTACCTAATCCTACAGATGGTAAACAAAGGTGTAAATGTAAAAGATGTGGTGCTCAATACTTATGTGATAGTAAAAATGGCACTGGTAACTTAAGGAGATACTTGCAAAATTGTAAGAAAAGAGATTTACGTGATATAGGACAGCTCATATTGCAAACTGGTTCTAGTGCATCTATTTCTATGATTGATCAAAAGTTTGACAATGCTGAATTTCATGATTTATTTACTGCTTGCATAATATGCATGACTTGCCCGATAAAAACTCTCAATTTCTGTAGATATAACTTTTTTTAATTAACAATGTGTAATTCCTTTGAGGCTTAACTTATTTGTACCAATGCTCAATTCTTACTTTCCAAAACAGGATTTTGATTCTTTTGAGGAGGAGGTAAAAATGCCAAAAAAATCCGAATTGGAGATGTATCTTGATGAACAAAAAATAGATAGAAAAATTGAGCTATATATCTTACATTTTTGGAAAGCCAACCAATATAGATTTCCTGAGGTTTCTGCAATTGCACGTGATATTTTGTGTATTCTCATATCAATTGTTGCCTCTGAAAGTGATTTTAGTAATAGTGGGCGAATCCTCGATCAATATCGGAGTGCACTAAAACATGATATC